TGGATTACTGCAATGCACTCTATGTGGGGCTGCCCTTGAAAACGGCCCAGAAATTTCAGATGATCCAACGGGAGGCAGCCAGGTTGTTAACTGGGCCGCCTTACAGGGAGCGGTCAACCCTCCTGTTCAAGGAGCTCCACTGGCTGCCGTTCATTTTCCGGTCCCAATTCAAGGCACAGGTTCTTACCTACAAAGCCCTGAACGGTTTGGGCCCCGCCTACCTGCGTGACCGCATCTCTGTATACGAACCCACACAATCTCTTCGATCATCCGGAGAGGCCCTGCTCTCGATCCCACCAGCATAGCAGGCACAATTGGTGGGGACAAGAGAGAGGGCCTTTTCAGTGGTGGCCCCTCGACTCTGGAACTCTCTCCCTAAAGACATCAGACAGGCCCCAACTCTGGCAGTCTTTAGGAGGAGCTTGAAGACGTGGTGGTTCCAATGTGCCTTCTCGGAATAATGATCCCATAGCACTTTATCCCCCAAGCACTTTACATTTTTAGGTCTGCTCGTATGCCCTTCCACAAACGCCACTATCACCTTTTCGTCCATGTCCCAGCATTACTTCCAATTTTAACTTTACATTTGGCCTTACCACTGTTTTTAATTGTGTGTTGTCTTATTGATAATGTTGTATATTTTATTGTCTATGTTTTTATTTTAATTGCTTGTACTGTTGTTGTTGTTGTTGTTATTGCTTGTACTGTTGTATTCGAGCTCGGCCTCATGTAAGCCGCACCGAGCCCCTTGGGGAGATGGTAGCAGGGTATAAATAAAGTATTATTATTATTATTATTATTATTATTATTATTATCAATGGTATGGGGCATAAGCAGGAAGGATAACAGGAAAATATGTGAAATTGTTTTAGTGCATCTGTGTAAGAGAGGCATCACATCTTATGCTGTCTCCTGCAGAGAGCACAACAAAACAGGGACCACACATCTTCCTGCTGTACCTTTGCCAATAAGCTTGCCAGGTGAAGCAAACCTCTCACCTGAGCAAGCAGAAGAAGCCCTTCCAGTCACACCCAGACTCCAAGATGCCAGTTCCTCCTCACGCTGCTGCACAAGCATGCCAAGTCATGCTATTCATTGTGGATCCTTATTTATTTCTTTGTTTATGAAGACGCATGACTAATTTGTAATGCTTTTAACTGGAACAACTAGAATTGAGACTTGCCTGTATGCCCCTGCTTTTCCAAGCAAACATATGCAAGCAAGGGAGGATTTCAAGCAAGGAAGATTTGCCATCCCAAGCTGCAGACAGATTCTTTCTACCATATCCTTGCTTTTAACCGGAAATGCTTGAGAACTGAAAACAAAGTGCAGCAAGAAAGAGATGAATAAGTGGGCTATGGGCCATGATCCAATTTCCTCATCTAACTAACTTCTTTTTTTTTTTTGCTGGACTTTGGCAGGTTTAAATCATATCAGGGTTTATATCCTTCCAGTGATATTTCAATTGCAGTAACTGGTCCGAAGGCAAGGAGGAGCTCCGTGATAACGGACAAACTGGTAAGTGAATGTTGTGGGGTTTGGATTGACACCTTTCTGCCATAAATTTGCAATTAAAGCCTATTACTTTTGTCAAGTTTTTGCCATGAATCTGACATAAAATACTTTGGCCTGGGTTTATCGGGTTGATAGTACAGGCAGACTTTTGTACTCAAAACTGGATCCACTCCAATCACAGAAAGCAGAGGAAAGGTCTGATTTCATGTGAGAAAGGACATATAACTGAGGATATATACGCGCTCCCCCCCCCCCCAATACATCTTGTGTCCCTGAAAATTACTTTTACACACTGAACTCAGTTCACAGCGAAGATTGAAAGTGAAAGGAGAAGAGGGAAACTCATATTTCAAAAACAGCTGAAATGTGGAATAGTGGAGGAATACTCATCCTGGAAAGAATACTCCAGAGGACAGGAGCAGAATTCAAAATGATCTTGATAGATTAGAGAGATGGGCCAAAACTAACAAAATGAAGTTCAACAGGGACAAATGCAAGATACTCCACTTAGGCAGAAAAAACGAAATGCAAAGATACAGAATGGGGGACAGTGCCTGGCTCGAGAGCAGTATATGTGAAAAAGATCTTGGAGTCTGGGTTGTTGTAGGTTTTTCCGGGCTATATGGCCATGTTCTGGAGGCAATTTTTCTCCTGACGTTTCACCTGCATCTATGGCAAGCATTCACAGAGGTAGTGAGGTCTGTCTGAATGACCTCACAACCTCTGAGGATGCTTGCCATAGATGCAAGCGAAACGTCAGGAGAAAAATTGCCTCCAGAACATGGCCATATAGCCCGGAAAAACCTACAACAACCCAGTGATCCCGGCCATGAAAGCCTTCGACAATACAATGATCTTGGAGTTCTCGTGGACAACAAATTAAACATAAGCCAACAATGTGATGTGACAGCAAAAAAAAAAAAACCAATGGGATTTTGGCCTGCATCAATAGGAGCATAGTGTCTAGATCTAGGGAAGTAATGCTACCCCTCTATTTTGCCTTGGTTAGACCACACCTGGAATATTGTGTCGACACCAAATTGGGAGGGATAGCCAATACTTCAGAGGACAGGAGCAGGATTGAAAATGATCTTGACAGATTAGAGAGATGGGCCAAAACTAACAAAATGAAGTTCAACAGTGACAAATGCAAGATACTCCACTTTGGCAGGAAAAACGAAATGCAAAGATACAAAATGGGGGATGCCTGGCTCGAGAGCAGTACGTGTGAAAAAGATCTTGGAGTCCTCGTGGACAACAAGTTAAACATGAGCCAACAATGTGATGTGGCGGCAAAAAAAGCCAATGGGATTTTGGCCTGCATCAATAGGAGCATAGTGTCTATATCTAGGGAAGTAATGCTACCCCTCTATTTTGCCTTGGTTAGACCACACCTGGAATATTGTGTCCCATTCTGGGCACCACAATTCAAGAGAGATATTGACAAGCTGGAATGTGTCCAGAGAAGGGCGACTAAAATGATCAAGGGTCTGGAGAACAAGCCCTATGAGGAGCGGCTTAAGGAGTTGGGCATGTTTAGCCTGAAGAAGAGAAGGCTGAGAGGAGATATGATAGCCATGTATAAATATGTGAGAGGAAGTCACAGGGAAGATGGAGCAAACTCGTTTTCTGCTTCCCTGGAGACTAGGACGCGGAACAATGGCTTCAAACTACAAGAGAGGAGATTCCATCTGAACATGAGGAAGAACTTCCTGACTGTGAGAGCCGTTCAGCAGTGGAACTCTCTGCCTCGGAGTGTGGTGGAGGCTCCTTCTTTGGAAGCTTTTAAACAGAGGCTGGATGGCCATCTGTCAGGGGTGCTTTGAATGCAATATTCCTGCTTCTTAGAATAATAGAATCAAAGAGTTGGAAGAGACCTCATGGGCCATCCAGTCCAACCCCCTCCCAAGAAGCAGGAGTATTGCATTTAAATCACCCCTGACAGATGGCCATCCAGTCTCTGTTTAAAAGCTTCCAAAGAAGGAGCCTTCACCACACTCCGGGGCAGAGAGTTCCACTGCTGAACGGCTCTCACAGTCAAGAAGTTCTTCCTAATGTTCAGAATTTCCCAGTTAAAGCATTCTAATTCTGTCATTTGGATGTAATTTTTGTGTTTGAAACAAATGATAGATCTTGTCTTAATGAATAAAAGACATTGTATTCTTCCATAGAAAAAATGCTGGTGTGCACTTGGAGGATTGATCAAGACTGTCTGCAGGTTTCGCAAGGCAATGAGCTATGTGTCACAGCGCAAACGCTTTGAAGAATTCCTCCAGCGGGAACTAAAAAATGATAAGGAAAGTATGTCCTCGGTTTCCTGGCATCCATAGCATTGGTCCTTGGGACAATCAAACCAGAAATCTCCCTACATTTATTCTCTGTCCCTGGTTATTTAAGACAAAGGAAGAAGGACTAGCAAGTGCAGGATTAAAGGGATTCATAAATCAGCACAGTTCGCCATTGAGAATGAAATAAGCCTTGAGAGTTCAGAGGAGGCTAATTAAGGTGGTTGTTTTATGTGCATCCTGCTCTCCTTCCAGGACTTGGACTCAGGGCAGTTCACAAGATTAAAAATAGATAAATGTATAAAGCAAGCAAAAATATGAAGAGGCAAATTATTGTAATGCTACAATCTATATAAATAAAAATGTGATGTTCGTTTGTGGAATTAACAGAACTCAAAAACCAAATTGACACCAAATTTGGACATAATACACCTAACATCCCAATGTATATCCTTCGCTCATAAAAACACTGAAAAACACAGCAGAAGGAACCCAAAAATCCCCAAAAAGCTAGATGACAATACAGAAAAAGGGAAGAAAGAGGGAGGGAAAGGGAGAAAGAAAAAGAATGAAAGAAAAGAAAGAGGGAGGGAAAGAAAGAAGGAAAGGGAGAAGGAAGCATGGAAGCAAAGAGAGAAGGAAGGAGAAGGGAAAGGAAGTCAGTCCTTCCTTCTGCATCGTTCGCTCAAGAAATGTCGTCCTTCTCTCCTTTCTCGTGCCCACCCCGTGGGCCTGCAGGAACTTTCTCACAAGTTATTTCGTCCGTTCCGTCCTTACTTCCTCCTGCCTTCCGTCAGTCCGTCCGTCTGCCTTCCTTCTCGCCTTCAGGAACACACTGGCCAGCCTGCCTGTCCCTCGTTATTAGCTGAAGTGGTCGCTTTATCGCCCTCGTGAGCGGACGAAAGATTGCAAGAGCTCTTCCGCCCCCGGCTATCCTCAGAATCGACCTGTACCAACTGGCACACGCAGGACCCCTCTCGCCTTCCTTACTCCTCTCCGTCACGCATTCCGGCCTTCCTTCCTGCCTTCGTCCTTCCGTCCTTCCTTACCTTCCATCCTCCGTCTCGCCAGCCTGCTCGCCTTCCCTGCCCCTGTCCCTCGTTCCTCGCCCTCTTTCTTTCACCTCCTGTTGTTGCCGCTGTATCGCCCTCTTTCATTTCCTTCCCTCACTGCCCTCGCTCCTTCCGTCCCCCAGCTCCCATCCTACTCTCCCTCCACCTTTTCCCTGTCCTTCCCCTCTCTGCTCCTGCCTTGCCTCCGCTCCTATGTCCTCTTGTTTCCTGTACGGCCGGCCTTCCGTGCCTTCCCTGACGTCCTTGCTCTGTCCTGCCTGCCTTAAGGAAGGAAGGAATAGGATGCTGAAATCCACCAGTGATGGAATTGAACCAAACCTGGCACACAGGACTCCCACGACCAACAGAAAACACTAGAAGGGTTTGGTGGGCATTGACCTTGAGTTTGGGAGTTGTAGTTCACCTACATCCAGAGAGCACTGTGGGCTCAAGCAATTATGGATCTGGACCAAACTTGGCATGAATATTCCATATGCCCAAATATGAACACAGATGGAGTTTGAGGGAAATAGACCTTTACATTTGGGGGTTGAAGTTGCTGGGATTTATAGTTCACCTACAATCAAAGAGCATTCTGAACCCCACCAACAACAGAATCAGGGCAAACTTCCCACATAAAACCCCCATGACTAACAGAAAATACTTAAGGCCATCCTGTCCAACTCCCTTCACCGGGGCAAGTAAACGTAATCAAAGCCCTCCTGACAAAGAGCCATCCAGCCATATATAGAGATAGATATATATGATTCACACACAGCGAGATATAATATCATAGATTTGAAAGGGACCCCTAAAGAAGGACAATGATACGTTGCATATTCCAGAGTGAGCAAACCAGACAATCTCCATATCAACACTGACAAAGAAACAACAACCTACAAGCATAAAGAAATTATATATATTAGAAACCAACACTTTCCCATTACTTTATTTTTCAGATCACCAGACTGGGCCACAGCAACGCATGGCAGGAGACAGCTAGTCTATATAAATAAAAATGTAATGTTCGTTTGTGGGATTAACATAACTCAAAAACCACTGGACGAATTGACACCAAATTCTGACACAACATACCTATCAGACCAACAAGTGACCATCACTCATGAAAACACTGAAAAACACCGAAAGTGGCTTAAAAAGCCAAAAAAGGCAAAAAGACACTACAGCGCATGTGCAGAAACAACTCCCTTTGGCAAACAAAACACACCATAGCATATCCCCACTCTCTTCCAGACTACAGCTCCCAATAGCCCCTAGACCCGGCCCTTTAGAAGAGGAGGATGATCCAAATGCACTGCTTCCAAGATGCAAGCTCTTCTCTCCTTAGATTTCTTTGAGAGCATCCCAGTCCCTGCATATTTCCAATTTCCTATTCCTGGACTGCAACTCCCAGCAACCCTCCAGGTAGATTAGATAGATAGATAGATAGATAGATAGATAGATAGATAGATAGATAGATAGATGGATGGATGGATGGATGGATGGATGGATGGATGGATGGATGGATGGATGGATGGATGGATGGACGGACGGACAGGTCAGGAGGAGTGCTGGAAGTTGCAGTCCAAGAATAGGTAGAGAAGAAAGAAAGGGGAGAAAAGGGAAGGGGAAAAAGGGGGGAGGGAAGAGGAAGAGAAGGAAGGAAGAAGAGAAGGGGGGGAAGGGGAAGGAAGGAACCTCTGAGGATGCTTGCCATAGATGCAGGTGAAATGTCAGGAGAGAATGCTTCTAGAACATGGCTATATAGCCTGAAACAACAACCCACAATTTATTTTTCCAAAACATATGAATTGCAACTTTGTCAGCCCCTCTTAGAGCTACCAGATGTTTGTGGAAGGTTATTATTATAATCTTACAAGTAAGGTTTCTCCTTTCCCCTCTCAAGATATGCCAGTGACAACACGACAAAGCATTAGTGGACCTAGTGGACGCCATGCTCCACATTCAGGCGGGTCAGATGATATCGAAGTGGTTCAAGTGAGGCGGAAGATCTTTGGGAACCGTATCATCCTGGTCAACTTCTTAGTTAATGACCTGTATTTTTACCTGGAGATGGAAAGGTGAGTGAGCCTGTCTTCTTTCTCCTATTATGCTGTGCGTGCTTCTTGTATTGTCAAATTGGGGAAAAACCCTGCCCTCCAGCACTACATTTGAATTGTAGTCAGAAAGGTAGGTAAAGGTAGTCCCCTGACATTAAGTCCAGTCATGTCTGACTCTGGGGTGTGGTGCTCATCTCCATTTCTAAGCCGAAGAGCCAGCGTTGTCCATAGACACCTCCAAGGTCATGTGGCCGGCATGACTGCATGGAGCGCCGTTACCTTCCCGCCGGAGCGGTACCTATTGATCTACTCACATTTGCATGTTTTCGAACTGCTAGGTTGGCAGAAGCTAGGGCTGACAGCGGAAGCTCACGCCGCTCCCTGGAATCGAACCTGCGACCTTTCGATCAACAAGCTCAGCAGCTCAGTGCTTTAACCCACTGCGCCACCGGGGGCTCCGTAGTCAGAAAAGCCATCATCAATTCATTTCTCAGCTAGTTAGGAAGGTGGTGGTCCTGTATCTTGGTCAGAATCAGAACTGCAAAAGACAATTTCATTTTTAAAAAATCAGTTCTGATTATAGACTTGGCTAATTTTGTGTTTCCACTCAAGATGAACACTCAGCTAGCTGTGCATTGCCACTTCTAGATACTTAACAGTAGTACTAATTGGAGGATATGAAAGGAGCTTCTTCCTGTACTGATATCCTAGAACTGTGCTTCTCAACCTGTTGGTCCCCAGGTGTTTTGTCCTACAATTCCCAGAAATCCCAGCCAGTTTACCAGTGTCCTCTTGGTTACATCGCTTATGCTTGAGGCTCAGGCGTCGGCGGTGGCCGGGACGGCTTTTGCACAATCGAGACTCGTGCGCCAACTGTGACTGTACCAAGTAAAGGCTGATCTGGCTGGGGTGGTCCATGCCTTGGTCACTTCTAGATTGGACTACTGTAATGCACTCTACGTGGGGCTGCCCTTGAAAACGGCTCGGAAATTCCAACTGGTCCAACGGGCGGCGGCCAGGTTGTTAACTGGTGCTCCTTACAGAGAGAGGTCAACCCTCCTGTTTAAGGAGCTGCATTGGCTGCCGTTCATTTTCCGGTCCCAATTCAAGGTGCAGGTGCCCACCTACAACGCCCTAAACAGTTTGGGACCTGCCTACCTGCGAGACCGCACCTCCATATATGAACCCACACGATCCCTCCGTTCATCTGGAGAGGCCCTGCTCACGATCCCACCTGCGTCGCAAGCGCATTTGGTGGGAACAAGGGACAGGGCCTTCTCTGTGGTAGCCCCCCGACTCTGGAACTCTCTCGTCAAGGACATCAGACAAGCCCCAACGTTGGCAGTCTTTAGGAGGAGCTTGAAGACCTGGCTGTTCCAGTGTGCCTTTCCAGAATAGGAAACTCCCAGCATCATGTCCCAAACGCACTTTATTAGAGATTTAAGATTGTCTGCACATCGCACCTACCCTAAAATCCTTACGTTTCTCCTGTCATGCCCAGCCCTTTTAATTTTTATTCATTACATTTGGCCCGGCCCTTAGTTCTTAAACGTGTCATGATGGCATTGTTTTATTGTTTTACTGTTATTGCTTTAATGTTTATTGGTTTGCTTTATGAGTCTTATTGTTGTATTTGTTATGCTGTTGTTTTATTGAGGGCCTTGGCCTTTGTAAGCCGCACCGAGTCCTTCGGGAGATGTTAGCGGGGTACAAATAATAATAATAATAATAATAATAATAATAATAATCCACAGGTTGAGAACCACTCTCCTAGAAGATCAGCATGGACCAGTAGGAAACTAGTAGGCTTGTTTGATAAAAAAAATTTTTTAAGGAGGTGACTTTAGAATTGAACCACATCCAAAACAAGTTCTGAAAAAAGTTCAGAACTTGTTTTGGATGTGGTTCAATTCTAAAGTCACCTCCTTAAAAAAATTTTTTTTTCAAAACATTCCAAAACTTCCGAAACAGCTTCGTTAATGGCAGATACACATGTGCAGTAGGAAAAACAGCACTGGTACTGGGGAAACTACAGGGCTCTTCCACTCAGGCCACTCCTGACCGAGGGGCTCTTCCACTCCAGGCCTGCCTCGGCTGTCAATGATGATGAGGAGGAGGCAGCGACGCCCCCTCAGGTGCCACTTGGCTCCCGCTGCCAGGCTTCAGCCACGCAGCGGGCTTCAGGCTGTTAGGAATAATGGGAGTGGAAAACCAAAACACCTGGAGGGGCCAAAGTTAGCCGAGGCCTGGATTAGATGCAGCCATGCCACAGTTCAATGTTAAGGGATCCTGGGGTTTGTAGTATGGCGCTCTTTGGCAAAGGAGGCTAAGAAACCATGCAAAACTACACAGCTCCCAGGATTGTGTAGCATTGAGGCAAAGCAGTTGGAAGTGGTTCCTTGATTACTTACTTATTACTTACTTAGGCGATCCCTCGTTTTCTGAGGATGATTGTCTTCCAGTATTTTTGTGGGTCCGTATGTGGCTGTGGAGCCCTATTCTTGCTCTGTATCTTCTTCCGCAGTGAGGGCATTGGTTTCCAGGTGGAAGGCGGTCTCGGTCAGGGTTGACTTGACGCGCCTTCCTCTTGGCACACTTCTCCCTTTCACCCACCATTCATGCCTCTTCAAATTCTGCAGCACTGCTGGTCACAGCTGACCTCCAGCTGGAGCGCTCAAGGGCCAGGGCTTCCCAGTTCTCAGTGTCTATGCCAGAGTTTTTAAGGTTGGCTTTGAGCCAATCTTTAAATCTCTTTTCCTGTCCACCAACATTCCGTTTTCCGTTCTTGAGTTCGGAGTAGAGCAACTGCTTTGAGAGACGGTCGTCGGGCATCCGGACAACGTGGCCAGTCCAGCGGAGTTGATGGCGGAGGACCATCGCTTCAATGCTGGTGGTCTTTGCTTCTTCCAGCACGCTGATGTTTGTCCGCCTGTCTTCCCAAGAGATTTGCAGGATTTTCCGGAGGCAGCGCTGATGGAATCGTTCCAGGAGTTGCATGTGACGTCTATAGATAGTCCACGTCTCACAGGCATATAGCATGGTTGGGAGGACAATAGCTCTATAAACAAGTACCTTGGTATCCCTACGGATGTCTCGGTCCTCAAACACTCTCTGCTTCATTCAGAAAAATGCTGCGCTCGCAGAGCTCAGGCGGTGTTGCATTTCGGTGTCGATGTTGACTTTGGTCAATACCAAAGTCAACATCGACACCGAAAAAGTGGTTCCTCGATAAGATCTGCCTGATCCACCTGAAGGGAGGGAGGGAGGAGAGGGAATGAAGGAAGAAAGGAGGGAAGGAAGGAAGGAAGAAAAAAAGGAGGGAAGGAAGAGAGGAAGGGGAGGAAGGGAAGGAAGGTGCTTCTGACAGGTTCTCTTTCCTTTCCAAAATTGGTTGCTTTAACCAATATCCCAATCAACCTTTAGTGCCACTGATCTATAACAGAAAGCACCATCTCCTTTCTCTCTTCCCAACTTTCTCCCGCCTTCCCCCTTTCCTTTTTTTTAAACCCAGCATTGGCTTGATCCTGTTGAGCGGAGGCTGCCTCCTGCCTGGCTAAACTCCCATTTGCCAAACCTTGAGATTGGGGTGAGGGGGGGGGGGAGTGAGGAAAACTCGGTTTGAATGCAAACTCGGAGGGAGAATCCAGATGGTAATGCAGAAAAGGAGGAGGAGGAGCCTGCTACTCGGCTATTTTGGCGAATGTGCAGCAAGGCGGGGTGGGAAATGTAATTTAACAACAGGGCCTTTTGCATTCTCTACCATTGGGGGCCTTTCCTTCACAAACTACAACAATGGCTATGCTTATTTATTTATTTATTTATTTATTTACAGCTTTTCTATTCCGCCCTTCTCACCCCGCAGGGGACTCAGGGCGGATTACAGTGTACACATATATGGCAAACATTCAATGCCAATTTTTGACATACAAACATATACAGACATACACAGAGGCTATTTAACTTTTTCTGGCCGCCAGGGGAGCTGTCGCTTTCATTGTCCATCTGCGACGCTGATGAAGCACTTCCGCATTCCCCGCATGCTTCCCCGCTGGAATGCTTTGCTGGAGTCTTTTCCTTATGGCCTCATAAATCAGTTAATTTAGCCTCCCCACACTTTAAGGTGGTACCTTATTTTCCTACTTGACAGATGCAACTGTCTTTCGGGTTGCAAAGGTTGACAACAGGCTACACACAATTGGTTGGAAACCCACTCCAACCCGGGCTGGCTTCGAACTCATGACGTTAGGCACGCCCACCTCATCCCTCCTTTGCATCCCCCACCTGGGAGGGGAAGCAAAACTTTACAAAAATTGCTTAATGCTTGTGAAAATTAAAATAACCTTGGGAGACTTCTGAACATTACGAAATATTTATGAATAAAACCTGTTGGTGGTTCAAATCGTAATTACACCTCTTACTTTCCTGCATGGTTCAAAACTGATTCGAAAGACCAATTTCAATAGATTTTAATGAATTTAAGGTTTTAACGAAGCGAACCTAACCAACTCTAGAAACTAGTACTGAGCAGAGCTCCAAAAAAGTAGCTTTGGGGTGACAATTCCAGGAATCCCTCTGCAAATGTAGCCAAGATATTGGGACTTTTAATGCAAACATGTAATTTCCCCAAACTGATATATTGAAATTACATTGCTATTTTCCTCTTATCCAAGTGCAAAAAGTACAGAGGAGGGGAACTTGCTAATCCCAGTACACCGAGTCAACGATTCTGACTCCAGAACCAGGATCCAATTTACAATCACTGGCTACAGTCCAATCCCATCTTAGGTTTAATGTTGTATTGTTTCCAGTGTTTCCTGTTCACCTTCATGTTTTCTGCTTCTTTTCCTGATTCTTTATTCTTCCTACAGATTTTTTCATGTGGCTGACTCTGTGGTAGTGTTGGCAGCCCTTGGGTTGTATACAGAAAAAGATATTGCCTTTCTGAAGAGCAAAGTGGTCACCATCAATAAACTTTTTCTGAATTCAGATATCCCACCCAAACTGAGGGTAAGAGGCTTGGGAGCACATTTTCAGAGGCCAGTGAGATTCATTGGTCTCCGCTCGGGTACCAAGTAAAGGCACTTTGGGTTTGAATTAAAGACAAAATATAGATCAATGGCAAAAAAAAATAATATTGAGCCTGAACTGCAATCTCAAATTGTGATGACAGAGGACCCACCTACACTGCCACATAACACAGTTTGAAAATGCAATATATGGTCAGTATAGATTAAACAACAACAACAATTCTTTATTGGGTTGTTGTAGGTTTTTTCGGGCTATATGGTCATGGTCTGGAGGCATTTTCTCCTGACGTTTCGCCTGCATCTATGGCAAGCATCCTCAGAGGTAGTGAGGTCTGTTGGAAGTAGGAAAATGGGTTTATATATCTGTGGAATGACCAGGGTGAGACAAAGGACTTTTGGCCATGGTCTAGAGGCATTTTCTCCTGACGTTTCGCCTGCATCTATGGCAAGCATCCTCAGAGTTAGTGAGGTCTGTTGGAAGTAGGAAAATGGGTTTATATATCTGTGGAATGACCAGGGTGAGACAAAGGACTTTTGCCATGGTCTAGAGGCATTTTCTCCTGACGTTTCGCCTGCATCTATGGCAAGCATCCTCAGAGGTAGTGAGGTCTGTTGGAAGTAGGAAAATGGGTTTATATATCTGTGGAATGACCAGGGTGGGACAAAGGACTTTTGTCTGCTGGAGCTAGGTGTGAATGTTTCAACTGACCACCTTGATTAGCATGTAATGGCTTGGAAGTGCCTGAGGGAATCTTTTTTTGTTGAGAGGTGATTTGGTGTGCCTGATTGTTTACTCTCTGTTGTTTTGCACATCAAACATTCAATGCCAATTTTTTGACATAAAAAACATATACAGTCATACACTGAGGCTATTTAACTTTTTCTGGCCGCCAGGGGAGCTGTCACTTTCATCGTCCATCTGCGATGCTGATGAAGCACTTCCGCATTCCCCGCATGCTTCCCCACTGGAATGCTTTGCTGGAGTCTTCTTTATGGCCTCATAAATCAGTTAATTTAGCCTCCCCACACTTTTAAGGTGGTACCTTATTTTCCTACTTGACAGATGCAACTGTCTTTCGGGTTGCAAGGGTCGACAACAGGCTACACACAATTGGTTGGAAACCCACTCCAACCTGGGCTGGCTTCGAACTCATGACCTTTTGGTCAGAGTGATCTTAATGCAGCTGACGCTCAGCCAGCTGTGCCATAATCCCGGTGCTGATAAGGATCTGCAGACTGTTTTGATAGCATCTGGAACTAGAACTATAACGTTGAGAACAGAGGATCAATTTCCTACATGCACATATCACATTTAAAATCTGGTCTGAGGGATAATCCAAGGTCTGAACTGAGGCCTGTACACGCAAATGGTAAAGCCAGGCGTACACTGTGGAAAATGCATTACCATAGTGTGACCATCACCTTGCATCTGCCTTTCCAGAGACAACTTCACCTGCAGAATCTGGGCGGGTCCACACAGCCGTGTAACTCACACCCAATTGGGTTTCTAAAAAACCGATTGGGTGCGGGTTAAAGTTTACACCCCCCCCAAACACCCACACTTTCCTCGGGGGAGGATGTACCAATTACACACAAGGAGGTCCGGGGGGGGGGGCAGGCAGGCCTCTAGCGAGGGGGCGGTTTTAGGGGTTCAAACCCCCCCCCCCCGAAATGTTTCAGATTTTTTTTAAAAACCTGGTTTACTCATGAATTTTAACTGGTTAACCAAATCCCCATGCTAAGTCTATGAGATGCAAAAAATTAAGAGTCCCTCCAGAACTGTAAGCACTATCTCAAGCAAATATTGACAATTTATTCACACTGTCATTACTTGCAGCAATAGCTGATGTAGTGAAGCAACCAAGTTGTGTGTGTGTGTGTTGAATGCTCTCATTAAGGAGGCCAGACTTGGTGGAGGTGGTTGACAGGGGGGGAGCTGCAGGCTATTGAAGGCTGCTCTGCCCCTGCTGCGCTCTTTGCTTCAGCGTGAGCTGGGAGGCAGGTTTCAACACCCACCCACCTCCCGCCGAAATTTTCAACCCTCCCTGAAACTGTCAACCCCCCCTGAAATTGTCAACCCTCCCCGAAATTTTTTTCTGGCTACGGTCCTGGGGGCAGGAGCAATTTGGCACCCTCTCTCTTCCTCACACGTACTTGGTACATTCCAAGAAGAGGCCTAATGGTGGTCCGGGCTGATTCAGAAGTACAGAACTTCTGAGAGGGAAGTCCAGACAGCGGCCATAGTGGGTTTGATCCTTTTAAGAAGGCATGGATTGAACCCGCTATCTAATTTTATTTATTTATTTATTTATTTATTTATTTGTTTGTTTATTTATTTATTATTCGAACTTATATGCCGCCACTCCGCTGGGGCTCGGAGCGGCTTACAAGAATGGCTAAAATCTAACACAATTTAAAAACAATATAAAACAATTTAAAAACAGCAATATCAAAAATCAAAGGCCTGTCGAAACAGGTAATTTGGGACAAAGCAAGGTTTTCCCTCAATGAATTCATTTTTGTGTGGGGCTCGCGCACTTTCCACGCTGTGTAGATGCGCTTTCTGACATCCTGTCCAGCCTTTGACTTACATGGTTAAAGACCGAGCACATCAGTGTATTTTCTTTTGAATTGTCTATTGTGGATGGATGTGTTTACCACTCTCCTCATGCGATGACCTCTCTTCCATTGCCAGGTCAACCTCACAGACTCGCAAGTTACTCAGATCCGGAATCAAATTGCGGAAGGCCAAATCAATAGAACTCTTTACCATAGTGCTATCATGTCTATTTTCCCAGTTTTATTATACTTCTGGAAGAAGTAAGTGCCTCTCTGCTTTAGCTCTAAAGTGTGGGTGTGTATAATTATCATGATTATGGACTAAAAGGGCCCGGAGTTCCATTTTTTGGAGAAAGACAGTGTATAAATAAAGTGACTGATTGATTGACTGACACCAGCATGTGGGGCTAAGCATATACATACAGCCTGTTCTGTCACGCACTGGGTCCGAACAAATTGTCTTTATTCTATAGGACGTATACTTTAACCCAGTGGACAATCGGGGTGCCTCAAAGAGAGATTCTTAGGGATTTCCCGAAGTGATGGTCTTTAGAGTCTTTAATGATACAACAAAGTCTTTATTAAGGATCAAATAACAAATCTTCAAACAACACTTCAAGGTTCTTGTGGGTTTTTTCGGGCTATTCGACAATACATTGAACACTTCAAGGTTTTCTTGTTCTAGTCTTTAAGAGACTGGCACTGACTTGAATTAACTGTACTTTCTTAGCATAAGGAAGAACCCTTTATAATCTCTCCCAGGCTGTCTATTATCTGGGCCTCGCTGATTTGGGTCTTACTACCGATCCCAACTGCTTCTGGGCATCGAGTAAACCTACCAGCCAAGGCTTGATGATACTTCAGCTGGGATTCAGTGGTTCTGTAATGCTGTCCTGTGGGAACTTCAGGGCTGTTTTCCCCTCTGGTGCTGAGAGGTTGTGAGCTCTCAGCCAGAGCCTTTGGAATCTTTTCCTTCTGTTCCTATTTCCCTGGATGGTCCCCGGATTGTTACCGGATGGTCCCCGGATGGTTCTGAGGAATGAAGCTTTTCCTACGGGATGAACTGTCTGCGTCCTGTAGACTAGCTTCCTTGTGTGTGACTGACTAAAATGGCTTCCTTCTCTTCTGAAAACCCAAAAGGGGGCGGAACTAAGGAACCTAATGATGATGGACAGGTGGCCTGCCCTGTAACTGCAAACTTTAAGAGGAAGCCACCCTTCTGCAAAATCCCAAGCCTTGGGCTGCAAACAAACACTTAATACAAAGCAACTAAAGGGGAGCTTCTGGTACAGCTGTACCTGCACACAGCCTCTAAATCAACATGTGTGGCTAAGCATATACATACAGCATGGTCCACCCTTTCAAGCAGCAGTTTTTGGGTGTCATAAAAAGATGACAAATTAATTGTTGGCTATTCATTTTGTCCCTATTGTATTTTCATATCTGGGATAAAATAATGTTTGGGGAACTTTGTGCTATGTCTCTAAGGAGTCGAGGCACTACTTGTTGCTCTGTTTCAGCTAGCAAAATGTCTTTGGTCAGCCCTAAAAATTAACATATTGCTAGAGTTAATATTTATGAACCTAGAAAGGATGTGGATTCATAAATATTTAATCCTAGCAATATGGAAGGCCATCAGGAAGGTGTTAAAACAATAGGAGTTGCTAGGAGTTGCTTATTAATAATGCCTCTTAAGCTTGTGCTGATTACATACAATACATACATTTTTTAAATAGTCTTTATTAAAAAGAAAAGTAACCCTGGATTTTTTAAAAAAATACATAAAGAGATTATACAAACAAACATACAAATTTATTTATTTATCATGTCAGGAGCAACCAGACAGTTGTATTACATTTTTAACAAAACAAACAGACAAAACACAAAGTTTGCAAGCTTGGTAGTTGATTAAATGTCCTTTGACCAGTATCTGGCCACTTGGAGTGACTCTGGTGTTGCCGCAAGAAGGTCCTCCATTGTGCATGTGGCAGGGCTCAGGTTGCATTGCAGCAGGTGGTCAGTGGTTTGCTCTTCTCCACACTCGCATGTCGTGGATTCCACTTTGTAGCTCCATTTCTTAAGGTTGGCTCTGCATCTCGTGGTGCCAGAGCGCAGTCTGTTCAGCGCCTTCCAAGTCGCCCAATTTTCTGTGTGCCCAGGGGGGAGTCTCTCATTTGGTATCAGCCATTGATTGAGGTTCTGGGTTTGAGCCTGCCACTTTTGGACTCTCACTTGCTGAGGTGTTCCAGCGAGTGTCTCTGTAGATCTTAGAAAACTATTTTTATTTAAGTCGTTGACGTGCTGGCTGATACCCAAACAGGGGATGAGCTGGAGATGTCTCTGCCTTGGTCCTTTCACTATTGGCTGCTACTTCCCGGCGGATGTCAGGTGGTGCAATACCGGCTAAGCAGTGTAATTTCTTCAGTGGTGTAGGGCGCAGACACCCCGTGATAATGCGGCATGTCTCATTAAGAGCCACATCCACTGTTTTAGTGTGGTGAGATGTGTTCCACACTGGGCATGCATACTCAGCAGCAGAGTAGCATAGCGCAAGGGCAGATGTCTTCACTGTGTCTGGTTGTGATCCCCAGGTTGTGCCAGTCAGCTTTCGTATGATGTTGTTTCTAGCACTCACTTTTTGCTTGATGTTCATGCAGTGCTTCTTGTAGGTCAGAGCATGGTCCAGAGTGACTCCCAGGTATTTGGGTGCGCTGCAATGCTCCAGTGGGATTCCTTCCCAGGTGATCCTCAGAGCTCGGGATGCTTGTCTGTTCTTGAGATGAAAGGCACATGTCTGTGTTTTAGATGGATTAGGGATCAGCTGGTTTTCCCTGTAATAGGCAGTAAGAGCACCTAGAGCTTCGGAGAGCTTCTGTTCTACCATCTGAAAGCTCCCTGCTTGAGTAGTAATGGCACGATCATCAGCATAGATGAAACTCTCTGTCCCTTCTGGCAGTGGCTGGTCATTTGTGTAGATGTTGAACATGGATGGGGCAAGCACGCTTCCCTGAGGCAGGCCGTTCTTCTGTTTCCGCCATCTGCTTCTCTGGCCCTGGAACTCAACAAAAAAGCTCCTGTTTTGTAGCAGGTTTCCTATGAGGCGGGTGAGGTGGTAGTCCTTTGTGATATTATACATTTTTCTCAGGAGGAAGTGGTGGTTCACAGTATCATAAGCTGCGGACAGGTCTATAAAGACAGCTCCGTTGTCTGTGATGAATCACATGGAGTGGCTATAGAGGGAACCATGCAAGAATCAACTATAGTAGATCAGAAGTGTTTAAAAAAATGTCCGAATCTCATTTATACATTAAAAATAATATGAAAGTAATATGATGTAATAATATAATACAAGGGTTATCCAGAAAGTAAGGTTGCAAAGCACATAGCTCTTGTGGGGAATTTTCACGGGGGAAGTTGGTATCACTGCCGTGTAGTGGGAAGCCAGTGGAAGTGAACGAGCAGTGCCAGTCGTGAGTAGCTCATCGACTGGCATTGTGATGAATGTTAGAGATGAGCAGCATTGTGGTGAAAGTTAGAGATGAGCGTACTCATTCCATTTCCCTCCACATGTGAAGTTCATGCTGTAATAATCTACCTATTGGAATTCATCATGAGGACGTAATGTCATGACAGCATGTGACAAAATGGGTATTGAATATATTGTGTGACCATGAAGAAACTTAGCAGAGCCATCCAAAACAAATATCGTGGGATGCTGATGATGGGAGTCTGTTTCCTTCATGACAATGGGCATCTGCACACCACTCATGCAACACAAGAGTTGTTGACTTCATTTGGTTGGGATGTTTTAAGCCACCCCTCTCTTAGCCCCAATCTCGAACCCAGTGACTATCATCTGTTCACTAAATTGAAGGAATACCTTGGTGGAAAACACTTTCCCAACAACGATGAGGTAAAATCGAAGTGACTAACTGGCTGAAAAAGGCGGAGGGAAACTTCTATGACACAGGCATTAAAAACTCATCCCACCGATGACAAAATATATTGAACTGAATGATGATTATGTAGAAAAATAACATAATACCTATGATACAATCCATGTAAATTTTATTAATTGATGAATTGTGACTTCATTTTGACAATTTGGCATTATGTAATTATATGATTGTATTTTAATGTTTTAGTGAATTATGGGATGTGATGTTTTAAATTATTGTCTATGAATCTTTTGTTGTGAACCGGACTGAGTCCCTCTACAGAGGTTGAGAAGACCGGTATAAATAAATAAATAAATAAATAAATATTAAAATATATTCTCCATTTGTATTTTTTGAAAATCTTGTAAATTTACTTTCCGGATAACCCTAGTATATTGTTCATTTAGATCCATGGTTCCCAACTTGTGGTCCATGGACCATCAGTGGTCCGCAAGAACTGAAATATGGTCCGTGGCCTCAGCGTTACTACACCGTTGCAACTAGAACAATTGCTCTTGTGAAACTCTCTTATAGTGCTGAGGCTTATTAAATATGGTTTTCTGTGGGTGAGCAGATGGCTACTACTGGATGGCATATGTTCTGTATCAGAAACTAGAGCTGATGTGGTCTATCCGATGCAATTTTCTCAATCAGCACCCCAAATAACCAAACCGAATCTAAAGTTGATCAAAAACCGATTCATTACCGGGTTGTTGTAGGTTTTTTCGGGCTATATGGCCATGGTCTAGAGGCATTCTCTCCTGACGTTTCGCCTGCATCTATGGCAAGTATCCTCAGAGGTAGTCACTATCCTCACTACCTCTGAGGATGCTTGCCATAGATGCAGGCGAAACGTCAGGAGAGAATGCCTCTAGACCATGGCCATATAGCCCGAAAAAACCTACAACGACCCAGTGATTCCAGCCATGAAAGCCTTCGACAATACGATTCATAACCCTTTTGGTACTTATGTTGTAGAGTGGTCACTGGTCAAAGTGGTCCCTGATCAAGTGGTTCATGGTTAGAAAAAGGTTGGAAACCACTGATTTAGATTCTCACAGGGCACTGAAGGAATCTGTAAGCCTGGTTATACATTATTCCACCTCCAACCATGTCTACAAAGCGATTGCCATGCAAAATACCTCACACAACTGCCTGTAACAAATATCACATTGATAAAATTTGGCTTTGTCAATAATCTTGCCCATGTCAATCTTTTATTTGCAGATATTGTCACTGGAAGGTAATGAGGAGCTTTAAAAAATTTAAGAGAGAAAAATCAACAATTTCTCCTGCATCACCACCAACTCCCTCAAAAATATCTAGGAAAGCTAGTATTTTCACTGGTTGTAAGTAGAATCTTAAGTTACATGTTCCAGTGTAAATGTTGTGTGTGTACATATAAACACACCATGAAATAGAACTAAACAAAATTATTTGACAGTTTACATTATGTTGCATTGCAAAAACTTCCCATGTCTCTGGAATTCTTTGTTATTGAACCTATATATCTAAAATTTACATTCCAGTGTGACATTATTGCTATTTTCCACAATGTCAACCTTGTATTAAGGCGACCCTGTAAATGAGAGACTTTGAAAAGTCCCAGTCATGTACAGTCCTGCAGGTTTTATGTACTTTCCATAATGTGGTTCTCCTGCTGTCTTTGTTGTGTTAGAGTCTGCTGGCAGTGATAGTAACACTAGTTGTATTAGGAGAGGCAGGAAAACTACTCGCGAGCAAGACTATGAGGAAGAGCAACAGAGGAAAAGAATCCGGGAGATACTTAGTGAGCCAACAGATGAGGATTCTTTTGAAGGTTTTGATGCAAATGATATGGATGATGGGATATCAGACTCTGGGTCTGATGGGTTGGATTGGACAAGGGTTCCAGAGATTCGGGATATTTGAGCTGAACCCACAAGCAGTGGCACGTTTGAAAGTTGGAGTAGTGAAGGCACGGATGGGTCTTGGGGAACTTCAGGATTAGACCAGAGATGGACTACTTGGAGGAGTGGTGGAAGAAGCACAGCTGGGGATGGGTTGGGCTGAACTAGGGGCGACTCCAGTTCGGATGAGGAATTACAACAGGATGCAGCTGGGACAAGGGTGTTGGCTGAATCAAGTTCTGATGAGGAGTTATAGATAAAATGGGAGTGTTTGCAATTGTAACTTTGCAATCGGCAAGGTGTCTTGTTGGGCGCTTTCTGGATCGTTGCGCTACAGAAGACGGGTTTGGAAGAAGACTTTGAGACCTGCCGTATTGCCCCCATTGCTTTGGCTCCTTGTGACTTCCATTGGATCGGGATCTGACCTTGCAGCTATTCGTTTCCCTTCGGACTAGACTGGACTGGACTTCAACTATTGGCATTACTCTCCCTTCCACGTCTGTGACTGTGTTTCTGGAGTTGGCGTTATCATCCTCCCTGCATTCCTGCATTTCAGCCTCGGAGTTCAGCGTGGCGTTTCCTACAGTGTTTGAAGCTCGGGTTACATTTTGCAGCCCTTGAAAGGCTGCTGCTCACTAGAGTGTCTGTGAACATCATTCTACAGTTTGTTTTGCTTCTGTTGTTTGTCTGAGCAAGTTAGAGCTGAATTAAGCATTTTGTCTTTAACACGGATTATATCTCTGGATAATCCAGGTTATAGTCCGGTTGGGGTTTTGTGGGTTCTTTTGCCTTTTTGAACTGTTTCACACTGAAGACTAAGTGTTTTTGCCCTGTGGTTTTGTTTTGGGCTGTTTTGTGTTTGTTTGAGCAATAAACTATACTTGACAGTCTTACTATTCCCAACTTCACCAAGCAATATAACCTTTTCCAATGGTAGTAAGCCAAAATCTGTCCATTTCATGATATATCCAAAGTAAAATAGTCTCAATTTAGTCATTGCCGCTTCTAAAAAAAAAATCAATTTTAATTCACTCATAGATCCATTTATGACTGTACCTGTACTCAGAAACTATTATGGCAAAGTTTTGTTTTTGTTTCAATGATTATTTTCATATTCTGTTAATGTTGTTGTTTTATTTTGTTTTATGCTGCTGTTTATGTATTTTATATTTGGTATTTTGTATTTTAATGTCTTTTTATTGTTGATTGGGCTTGTCCCCATCTGTAGACATCTTCTTCAGTAAAATATGTCAAATGAGTTTTTACAACCATATATAGAAATTGAAAATACTATGCATGGATGCTTCCAGCTTAAATATGCAATTATGTTATCTTCACCCTTGCCAATATACAATGCAGTTCTCTCCTAGATAATTCTTAGACTGGATCTATAATGCACTAAATCCCAGGATCAGTCTAAGAATCATCTAGGAGAGAACTGCATTGTATACACCCTGTCACTTGTACCTTTTCGATGCTAGTCATTGACCATAATAAATCTTTGATTTGAGATCCTGGGATATAGAGCAGTGTAGATACAACTTTAGCCGTTGCTGCCGCCACTGCCTTCTTCCTATCCTCCTCCTCCTCCCTCCTCCTCCTCCTCTCCTCCTCCTCCTCTCCCCAGGCATACTATTATCCTCCAAGAATGCAGTGGATGTGGCGTACCTGGATTTCAGTAAGGCCTTCGACAAGGTCCCCCATGACCTTCTGGCAAACAAACTAGTCCAATGTGGGCTAGGCAAAACTACGGTGAGGTGGATCTGTAATTGGTTAAATGGACGAACCCAGAGGGTGCTCACTAATGCTTCCTCTTCATCTTGGAAAGAAGTGACAAGTGGAGTGCCGCAGGGCTCCGTCCTGGGCCCGGTCCTGTTCAACATCTTTATTAATGACTTAGATGAAGGGTTAGAAGGCAGGATCATCAAGTTTGCAGACGACACCAAATTGGGAGGGATAGCCAATACTCCAGAGGACAGGAGCAGGATTCAAAACGATCTTGACAGATTAGAGAGATGGGCCAAAACTAACAAAATGAAGTTCAACAGTGACAAATGCAAGATACTCCACTTGGGCAGGAAAAACGAAATGCAAAGATACAGAATGGGGGACAATGCCTGGCTCGAGAGCAGTACGTGTGAAAAAGATCTTGGAGTCCTCGTGGACAACAAGTTAAACATGAGCCAACAATGTGATGTGGCGGCAAAAAAGCCAATGGGATTTTGGCCTGCATCAATAGGAGCATAGTGTCTAGATCTAGGGAAGTAATGCTACCCCTCTATTCCGCTTTGGTTAGACCACACCTGGAATATTGTGTCCAATTCTGGGCACCACAATTCAAGAGAGATATTGACAAGCTGGAATGTGGCCAGAGGAGGGCGACTAAAATGATCAAGGGTCTGGAGAACAAGCCCTATGAGGAGTGGCTTAAGGAGCTGGGCATGTTTAGCCTGAAGAAGAGAAGGCTAAGAGGAGATATGATAGCCATGTATAAATATGTGAGAGGAAGCCACAGGGAGGAGGGAGCAAGCTTGTTTTCTGCTTCCTTGGAGACTAGGACGCGGAACAATGGCTTCAAACTACAAGAGAGGAGATGTGGTGGAGGCTCCTTCTTTAGAAGCTTTTAAACAGAGGCTGGATGGCCATCTGTCAGGGGTGATTTGAATGCAATATTCCTGCTTCTTGGCAGGGGGTTGGACTGGATGGCCCATGAGCTCTCTTCCAACTCTTTGATTCTATGATTCTAATATAATCACTCTTTACCCCACTTTTCCTCTGAAGTGTTTTACTCAAAGATCCAACTCAATTCTTCTGTCGTAATCACCCATTACATGTATTTTATGTCCCAAGACCCTTCACTCCAAACGTGTCCAGTGCTCTGCTTGTAACTATTTGTGCCCTCAGACATGACTTCTAAAAAATCCCAACAACATTTGATATTAAATGTTTTGCCTCTGAAAAATGTGGTGAAAATTCTAAATTGGTTATCAGCTTCCTCCAAGAGGCCAGAAGGTGGCAATGTTGCACCATTGCTTTGTAGGCACAGTTTCCAGCACCCTGGAAAAGTTTTGTGTGTTGGATAGATGTGGTTCAGTGACTTAAAAGGAATACAAAAGCAATTCATTAATTATTAAGCATGTGACTGTTCCTCGCATTATTGGCCCACCCAAATCTGTACGTAGTTCTTTTGAAAGTACACCTCTCAATCGACGCAATCATAGAATCACAAGGTGGAGGCTGTGTCTGGTCAAATTCTCTTTTCAGTACAGGAAATTGGGACCTACGAGGGTTGAATGAAAAGTAATGACTCCACCTTCATTACTTGGATTTGGATGGGAATATTTTAATAAATAAAATGCAGAAATAATCCTTAGAATATGCTATTTAACTACCACTATTCACTTTTCCACATAATCACCAGACAATTGGATACATTTCTGCCAACGATGAACAAATTTTCTGAAGCCGTCACGGAAGGAGTCAACACTCTGTTTCCGCAACCAGCATCTCACAGTTCTCTCAACGTCTTCATCAGAAGCATAATGATGCCCCCGCAGATCTTCTTTCATTATCAGGAACAGATGGTCAGATGGTGCTAAATCTGGACTGAATGGAGGATGCCATACGGTGGTGAGATCCAGTCTTTGAAGTTCTCCTGTGTTCCCATTGTGCACAGATCTTCCAAAAGCCAAGCAAAGCAATAATGTGACTCACATGTTATTGTGAAATGCCGATTATGCTTCAAATTTCTGAGTGTTACAACAATTGTCCTGAATCAATCTGTCAACCTTTTGCTTGTGAAACTCAGTGCTTGCTGTCAAAGGACAGCCAACTCTTTGTTTGCCATGCAAGTCAGATGTTCCCACCTCAACATTTTTAAACTTACTCGCCCAATGACTCACAGTACTCACATCAATACAATCACCATAAACATTTTGCATTCTTTGATGAATCTCCTTTGGGGTGACACCTTCTGCTGTCAAGAATTCAATGACTGCACGTTGTTTAAGTCTCATTGACCGACGGTCTGCGCAGGTTTCTATACTTCGCACATTAACAACTTAACCGTTCAATGCTAAGGCTTCCCACCAAAATGGAGCTGTAGAGGAGAGTCTACTGAACAAGCCAGTACCTACCGCATACCAGTACTGCCATCTGTTATAAAGGTGGAGGCATTACTTTTCATTCAACCCTCATAAATAATTCTACAGCAGAAGTCTGACTAGCCTTGGTTTGAAGACTTCAAGTGTGGGAGGGAGTCCACCATGCTTTTAAAATTTGAGTGGAATCATAGAATCATAGACCTGCCCCGGAGTGTGGTGGAGGCTCCTTCTTTGGAAGCTTTTAAACAGAGGCTGGATGGCCATCTGCTAGGGGTGCTTTGAATGCAATATTCCTGCTTCTTGGCAGGGGGTTGGACTGGATGGCCCATGAGCTCTCTTCCAACTCTTTGATTCTATGATTCTATGACCTGGAAGAGACCACATGGGCCATCTAGTTCAACCCACTGCCATGCAGGAAAAGCACAAAGAGCCCCCGACAGATGGCAATCCAGCCTCTTTTTAAAAGCCTCCAAGGAAGGAGCCTCCAATAGAGAGTTCCACTGCTGGAACTCTTTACGCGGATGACGCCCAACTCCACTACTCTTTTCCACCAGAATCCAAGGAAGCCCCTCGTTCGCCAGCTGCAACCATACCTCGCGAAGTCTGACTTGACCACGGTTGTCCATGCCTTATTTACCTCTAGACTGGACTATTGCAATGCACTCTACGTGGGGCTGCCCTTGAAGACGGCCCAGAAACTTCAATTGGTCCAACGTTCAGCAGCCAGACTTCTAATCGGGGCGAATTACAGAGAGCGGTCAACCCTCCTGTTTAAGGAGCTTAGTTGGCTGCCGTTCATTTTCCGGTCCCAATTCAAGGTGCAGGTTATTACCTACAAAGCCTTGAATGGTTTGGGACCCGCCTACCTTTGTGACCACATCTCCTACCACAAACCTGCACAATCTCTTCAATCCACTGAAGAGGCCCTTCTCTCGCCCCTTCCTCTATCACAGACTTGTCTTATGGGAACAAGGGGGAGGGCCTTTTCCGCTGTGGCTCCTCACTTTTGGAATTCGCTGCCTAGGGAGATCAGGCAAGCCCCCACCCTAGCTGGTTTTAAGAAAGATCTAAAAACCTGGCTCTTCCACTGTGCTTTCAGAGAATGACCACTCAACCCATCTTTTATCCCTATCTCACCCAGGGTTTTAACTTTTTAACATTTTACCTCATACATTTGGCCCGCCCTCTGTGTCTGGTTTTACTATGCTGTTTTATATTGTTGATTTTATTTGTTATTTCATATTTTGTTATGACATATTTTGTTATTGGCTGTTTATTATGTTGTATTATTTTGGGCTTGGCCTCATGTTAGCCGCCCCGAGTACCCTTTGGGGAGATGGTGGCGGGTTATAAATAAAGTGTATTATTATTATTATTATTATTATTATTATTATTATTATTATTATTATTATACTAGCTGTACCCGCCACGCGTTGCTGTGCCCAGCCTTCCCTCCCTCTTTCTCTCCTTCCTTCCCTCTTTCCTTCCTTTCCTCTTTTTCTTTCCCTATCTCTCTTCTTTCTTCCATCTCTACCTGTTTCTTTCCTCCCTTTCTTTGCTCTTTGGTTACATACTTCCTTCCCTATCTTTTGTTCCTTCTCTCCTTCCTTCCCTCTCTTTTTCCTTTCACTTTTTTATTTCCTTCTCTCCTTCCTTGCTTCTCTTTCTTTCTTCCTTCTCTTCTTCCTTCCTTCCCTCTTTCCCTCCTTCTCTCGTTACTTCTTGACTGTCCCTTCCATTTAATATTGTATTTATATCTTACATAGAAAGAAGGAAAGAAAGAAGGAAGGAGGGACATGAAGGAAGGAAAAAGGAAGGGAGGGAGGGAAAGAAGGGAAGGAAGGAAAAGAAAGAAGGAGGGACAGGGAGGGAGGGAGGAGAAGGAAGGAGGAAGGAAGGAGGGAAAGAAAGGAGGAGGTGAAGAAAGGAGGGAGGGAAGGAAATGAAGGGGAAGGAAATGAAGAAAGGGAAAGAAGAAGGAAAGGGAGGGAAGGAGGAAAAGAAGGAAAGGAAGAAGGAAGGAGGGACAGGAAGGAAGGGAAGAAGGGAAAGAAGGAAAGGAAGGAGAAGGAAAGAAGAAAAGGAAAGAAAGGAAGGAAGGAAAGGGAGGAAAGAAGGGAAGGGAGGGAGAGAAGGAAGGTCCTTCATTCAAGCACCATGCACCTGGCTTTAACGGCCAGCTGTTTCCCTGCAAGGAGGAGGGGGGCGTGGCCATGGGTCTCTGTAGACATGCAGTTTCTCCTTTGTGGACATACAGTTTAGAAGTCCTTTCTGCTTTTGGTTTTCATTGTTTTTTTAGTGGAGAACATACATTGGGTTGTTAGGGACATCATGTCAAAATTTGGTGTCAATCGTCCTAGTGGTTTCTGAGTTCTGTGAATAGCACAAACTAACATTACATTTTTATTTATATAGATATGATTATGTATTTTTTGCCAAAACCACCCTTAATTTGGGGACTATTTATTTATTTATTTATTTATTTATTTATTTATCATGTCATCTGCAACCAGAACATTGTATTACATTTCTAACAGAACAAAACAAACAAACAGATTAAAAAAAACAACACAAATTTTGCAAGCTTGGTAGTTGGTTAAATGTCCTTTGACCAGTATCTGGCCACTTGGAGTGCCTCTGGTGTTGCCCCAAGAAGGTCCTCCATCGTGCATGTGGGCTCAGGTTGCATTGCAGCAGGTGGTCAGTGGTTTGCTCCTCTCCACACTCAGGAGAGTGTGGATTCAACTTTGTAGCCCCATTTCTTAAGATTGGCTCTGCATCTCGTGGTGCCAGAGCGCAGTCTGTTCAGCGCCTTCCAAGTCGCCCAGTCTTCTCTGTGCCCAGGAGGGAGTCTCTCATCTGGTATCACCCACGGATTGAGGTGCTGGGTTTGAGCCTGCCACTTTTGAACTCTCGCTTGCTGAGGTGTTCCAGCGAGTGTCTCTGTAGATCTAAGAAAACTGGAGGTCTGACATTTCATATGAAGGAGTGGATTGCGGCCTTCTTGGATTCAATCAGTAGATTTCCCTCCAACTCTTAGAAATTTCTCATCCTTTTATGTCATCTAGATTTACTCATGATGGTAGGAGAGAACTAATATTGGACTTCTAATACATGCCAATTCTTTCAATGTCTGAAGAATGCTTTCATGTTCCTTGTCCCCAACTTTTACCTTCTGTTCATTAGGCTCTCTTTTTTTCTGTACTAGTGATCATTTCTGTTGCTCACTTCTGATTGTCTAGAAATTGTCAGGGTACTCCTCCATATGTCTGAATTGTAGAGATATTATTTCCTGTGATGTTATAGAGGACTTTATTATGGCAATTTACAATCACAGCATCCTTTTTCTGCAGCCTCATGATGCTGCTGACTCATATCCAGCCTATGACCAAGTGCAGTCCTGGGTTCCTTTTCATGCATCCTGTTTGGAAGTTCAGATATCCGGTCTCATCAAGAAGCACTGAAAAAAACTTTTTATTTGCATATATGGGCTTCTAAGCAACTTCTAAACCTATCTTCTTTAATACTACAGACTTTAAGCTTCTTGGAATGCAGAACATTTTTGCATTTAGCAATTTACAATAATAGTAAAACAGTAAAAATATATTTTTTAAAATTACAACTTCACTATAAATTTGCATCATGAAACAGTTCTGATTTGATTTTTCTCAAAATGTATCTGTAATTATCTGTAATTTGTAATTTTTTTCTTTGGGCGAGCCTGATAATAATCTTTGTTTTAGTGTCTTCTGTATCATATTTACTCTGAACATTGTTCTGTACTTTATATAACTTTTTGTCATGGCCCTGGGCTAGTACAATAAACATATTGATTGATGGATCGATTGAAATTTGCAATAATAAAGTTTTTAATCATGTTCTTATCTGTGATATTTTTCATGTATCCTGTCTTGGGATAGTTTGGCGCAGTAGTTTGGATAACAATGAATATTAAGACACTTACTTAGGCGATTCTTTGTTGTTCGAGTAGGATAGTTTTCCAGGGTCGGTGTACTGGTGGTGGATCCGTAGTTGACTGTGGAGCCCTATTCTTGATCTACATCTTCTCCCGCAGTGAGGACATTGGTTTCCAGGTGGAAGGCGGTCCCAGTCGGAGTTGGCTTGATGTGCCTTCCTCTTGGCATGTTTCTCTCTTTCACCCTCCATTCGTGCCTCTTCAAATTCTACAGCACTGCTGGTCACAGCTGACCTCCAGCTGGAGCGCTCAAGGGCCAGGGCTTCCCAATTCTCAGTGTCTATGCCAGAGTTTGAGCCCATCTTTAAATCTCTTTTCCTGTCCGCCAACATTCCATTTTCCATTCTTGAGTTCGGAGTAGAGCAACAGCTTTGGGAGATGGTGGTCGGGCATCCGGACAACATGGCCGGTTCAGCGGAGTGGATAGCGGAGGACCATCACTTCAATGCTGGTGGTCTTTGCTTTTTCCAGCACGCTGACATTTGTTCGCATGTCTACCCAAGAGATTTGCAGGATTTTCCGGAGGCAGCGCTGATGAGATCATTCCAGGAGTTGCATGTGACCTCTGTAGACAGTCCATGTCTCACAGGCATATAGCAGGGTTGGGAGGACAATAGCTCTATAAACAAGCACCTTGGTATCCCTACGGATGTCCCAGTCCTCAAACACTCTCTGCTTCATTCGGATAAAAGCTGCACTCGCAGAGCTCAGGTGATATTGTATTTCAATGTCAATGTTGACTTTTGTGGAGGGGTGGCTGCCAAGGTAGCGGAAATGGTCAACTTTTTCTAATGTTACACCATTAAGCTGTATCTCTGGCACTGGAGAGGGATTGGCTGATGACTGCTCGAAGAGCACTTTGGTTTTCTCAGTGTTCAATGACAGGCTGAGCTTCTCGTATGCTTCTGCGAAGGTGTTTAGAGTGCCTTGTAGGTCTTCTGAATGCACACAGGCTACGTTGTCATCAGCATATTGGAGTTCCATAACAGATGTTGTAACCTTGGTTTAAAGTCTGCTGAGATTAAATAGCTTGCCATCTGTCTGATAGATTATTTCCACTCCGGTGGGAAGCTTCCCGTCAACATGATGAAGTATCATAGCGATGAAAATGGAAAATAATGTTGGGGCAATAACACAAGCAAGTGTTATATTCAGCTTTGCCTATTTTTTTTCTCAGCGGAAGACCACCCAATTATCAGATATTCTATTCTGAAAGGAATCCAGCTGTTGCTGCCTCAGCCTCGGTATTATACAGACGAAGTACCTGGAGAGAAATGTAAGTTATAATGTTGTAGAGGTATGGTGACCTCTGAACTAGACAGATTTATTTATTTATTTATTTATTTACAGCTTTTATATTCTGCCCTTCTCACCCTGCAGGGGACTCAGGGCGGATTACAGTGTACACATATATGGCAAACATTCAATGCCAATTTTGACATACAAACATATACAGACATACACAGAGGCTATATTTAACTTTTTTCTGGCCGCCATGGGAGCTGTCGCTTTCATCGTCTATTTGCGACGCTGATGAAGCACTTCCGCATTCCCCGCATGCTTCCCCGCTGGAATGCTTTGCTGGAGTCTTCTTTATGGCCTCATAACTCAGTTAATTTAGCCTCCCCACACTTTAAGGTGGTACCTTATTTTCCTACTTGACAGATGCAACTGTCTTTCGGGTTGCAAAGGTCAACAACAGGCTACACACAATTGGTTGGAAACCCACTCCAACCCGGGCTGGCTTCGAACTCATGACCTTTGGTCAGAGTGATCTTAATGCAGGTGACACTCAGCCAGCTGGGGGGCGACTAAAATGATCAAGGGTCTGGAGAACAAGCCCTACGAGGAGCGGCTTAGGGAACTGGGCATGTTTAGCCTGAAGAAGAGAAGGCTGAGAGGAGATATGATAGCCATGTATGTGAGAGGAAGCCACAGGGAGGAGGGAGCAAGCTTGTTTTCTGCTTCCATGGAGACTAGGACGCGGAACAATGGCTTCAAACTACAAGAGAGGAGATTCCATCTGAACATGAGGAAGAACTTCCTGACTGTGAGAGCCATTCAGCAGTGGAACTCTCTGCCCCGGAGTGTGGTGGAGGCTCCTTCTTTGGAAGCTTTTAAACAGAGGCTGGATGGCCATCTGTCAGGGGTGATTTGAATGCAATATTCCTGCTTCTTGGCAGGGGGTTGGACTGGATGGCCCATGAGGTCTCTTCCAACTCTTTGATTCTATGATTCTATGATCATATTTTACTTCCACCCATTCCCCTGACTAACCAGCCACTACAATAATTCAACCATGGCATAAATAAGGGCAGCCAGAGTTTTGGATAGTTATCTCTATAGTACCTTTATTAGTGGCGAAGAAAGAAGAACTAGATCTACATCTATAAAATTAGTCATGTGATTGACATGGAAGAGGTCTCAAATGTACTATGTCATGTTTTTCCTCCTCAGCTTCAATTGGAAGTTTAACCAACTATGGAAAATCTCCGTCTGCTATCTATGGAGCACAGAGACGGTAGGTGCTCCAAAAACATTTTGTCTCCCATCAAACTTTGAATTGAGGGTGTTTGGGTTGAGTTCACTGCCTCCTAGCAAAGGTGTGTTAGCTGGACAAGCGGAACTACCCAGAGTATGAGATAATTATAATCTATATAAATAAAAATGTAATGTTCATTTGTGATACCATCAGAACTCAAAAACCACTTGGGGAATTGACACCAGATTTGGACACAAGACACCTAACAACCCAATTTATGTTCTCCACTCAAAAAAAAAAATTGCTGTTGCTGGAGTCAGGGGGAGAGCTTTAAACTGGCTGTCCTCCTTTCTTCACAACAGTGGACAGCGAGTGGAGAGGGGAGGCCTGGTCTCTGTGAGGTCCCCTCTATCTTGTGGGGTTCCTCAGGGGGGCATTCTCTCCCCTCTGTTATTTAACATCTATATGCGACCACTTGCTCAGCTGGTTCGAGGTTTTGGGCTTGAGTGTTACCAGTACGCCGATGACACTCAGCTAGTGCTGAAGATGGAAGACCGACTGGACTCTGTACCCGATTGTTTCCATCAGTGCCTCTAGGCCATTACTGGATGGCTGCGTGCCAGCAGGTTGAGGGTGAATCCAGCAAAGACGGAGATCCTATGGCTGGGTCGACCGGGCAATGGGGACATCCAGCTGCCTACCCTGGATGGCGAGGCACTATGCCCGTCATCATTGGTAAAGAGTCTGGGAGTCCTTTTGGACCCTCTGCTGACGATGGAGGCCCAGGTCTCCGCCGTTAGCAGAACCACCTTCTTTCATCTGCGGCAGGCTAGATGGCTCGCCCCCTACCTGTCCAGGGACAACCTAGCTACAGTGATCTGGGCCACGGTCATCTCAAGACTGGACTACTGTAATGCCCTCTACATTGCCCTTCCTCTGTCGGTGATCCGGAAGCTCAAGTTGGTACAAAATGCAGCTGCTCGGCTTCTTGCGGGAATTCCGGTGAGATGCCACATAACACCAATCTTACTACAGCTGCATTGGTTACCAATTGAGCACCGGATCACTTTCTAACACCAATCTTACTACAGCTGCATTGGTTACCAGTTGAGCACCGGATCACTTTCAACGTGATGGTACTCACCTTTAAGACCTTGCATGGTCTGGGGCCGATGTACCTGAGGGACCGCCTCACCCCCTACCAACCCCAGAGATCCCTCCGTTCTGAGGACCAAGATCTATTGGAAGTCCCCAGTGTCAAGACCTTGCGTCTAACAGCAACCAGACGCAGAGCCTTCACAGCAGTGGCATCAGCACTCTGGAATACTCTGCCATCTGAAGTCCGTGCCTTGCAGGACTTACCAGCTTTCCGCAGGGCATGTAAGACATACCTGTTTCGACAGGCCTTTGATCTTTGGTATTGCTGTTTTTAAATTGTTTTAAATTGCTTTTAAATTTTGTTAGATTTTAGCCATTCTTGTAAGCTGCTCTGAGCCCCAGGGGAGTGGCGGCATATAAGTTCTAATAATAATAATAATAATAATAATAATAATAATAATAATCTGGAAAGAACTTACCCCCCACAAGGCTAAATGCCTATATAGAGCCTGTGTTAAAAGAACCCTCTCCCCCGCCCCTCGCTCCTGCACAAGGGGGAAAAAACCCAACCACTGAGAGAGAGAGAGAGAGTGTGTGTTCCTTTCCTTCTTGCCTCGCTGCCTCCGCTGGGCTGCTGGGAACTCACAGGGATTCTGTGTGTGTGTGTGTGTGCCCAGAAACCTCACCCATACTGAGTGATGAGAAGGCATTCTGGGAAATGAAGTCCAGTATTCAAAGAAGGGACAAAAAGGCATGCTCTGTGAGTTAGCAAAGGCTGTCCAGGAAGGCAGAATCAAAACATTTCCAAAAGATGGCCATCCGTTTTTACTTTATAGCAACTCTGGGCTATAATATATCTACAATAATAATAATATCTATATATCTATCATAATAATATCTACCAATCTATAATTATATATATGTCTATGATATCTATATGTCTTTAACAATAATATCTAAATTTCTATCGTAACATCTATATGTCTGTAATAATGTCTATATGCCTATAATAATATCTACAGGTCTATCATAATATCCAAATGTCTATAATTATAATATCTGTCTGTCAAAAATATCTGCACAGTTATAACAATAAGACCTATATGCCTATAATATCTATGTCTATAATAATAATAATAGTAATAATAATAATAATATCTATATAAAGTATGGAGCCCCCGGTGGCGCAGTGGGTTAAAGCACTGAGCTGCTGAGCTTGTTGATCGAAAGGTCGCAGGTTCGATTCTGGAGAGCGGCGTGAGCTTCCGCTGTCAGCCCTAGCTTCTGCCAACCTAGCAGTTCGAAAACATGCAAATGTGAGTAGATGAATAGGTACCGCTCAGGTGGGAAGGTAATGGTGCTCCATGCAGTCATGCCAGCCACATGACCTTGGAGGTGTCTACGGACAACGCCGGCTCTTCGGCTTAGAAATGGAGATGAGCACCACACCCCAGAGTCAGACATGACTGGACTTAATGTCAGGGAACAACCTTTACCTTTACCTATATAAAGTATAATAATATGTATACATCTATAATAATAATAGCTATATAATATCTATAAAAATAACAATAAAAATAATAACATCTATATGTCTATAATAATATCTATAGGTCTGTAATAATATCCATACATCTGTTGCCTGTTTTTGCTCGAAAGATATTGAGCCCTCTGCTCCTTCTATTTGTAATCAGTTTTATACTAATTTATGCAATGCTTTTGATATGAAATTCATAAATAAATAACATCTATAATACTAATACCTATATAGCTTTAATAATAATATTTGTATCTATAATAATAATATCTAAATGCCTATAATAATATCTATATGTCTATAATGACAACAATACCTATATAAAATCTTTGAACTGGGTTATATGGCAGTGTGGACTCAGGTGACCCAGGGCCCTTCCACACATCCATAGAACTCTTTGGCCTCAAGGAGACTGAAATGGGCCTGTATTAGGTTGACACTTTGCCACTTCTGTTGTGTATTGATAGCTTAGAAACCAGCTCTTCCTCTTTTCTTTCTTTCCCATTTCTCCACAATGGGCCACAGCAACGCGTGGCAGGGTACAGCTAGTATAATATAAACCTTCTAGGATGTTAAGATCTTCCGGATAGGCCCTGCTCTCAGTCCCACCACCTTTGCAGTTGTTCTTGGTGGGAACGAGAGACAGGGCCTTCTCTGTGGTGGCCCCCCAGCTTTGGAACTCCCTCCTTGGTAAGATTAGGTCTGCTCCCTCCTTCTTGTCCTTCAGGAAGCAGTTAAAATTCTGCTGGAGCAGGTGACAATGTTATAGAGTGCCTACCTTGTAGGTCTTGTAGGCCAAGGTAGAGTGCCTACCTTGTAGGCCTGGTTATATGTGAATTCTGCAAACAAACAAAATTCTGGAAAATTAAATTGTCCTGTTGTACTACAAAATTGTACAAAATTAAAAAGATTATTCATATGGTAAAGGTAAAGGTAGTTCCCTGACATTAAGTCCAGTCATGTCTGACTCTGGGGTGTGGTGCTCATCTCCATTTCTAAGCCGAAGAGCCAGCATTGTCCGTAGACACCTCCAAGGTCATGTGGCCGGCATGATTGCATGGAGCGCCGTTACCTTCCCGCCGGAGCGGTATCTATTGATCTACTCACATTTGCATGTTTTCGAACTGCTAGGTTGGCAGAAGCTAGGGCTGACAGCGGAAGCTCATGCCGCTCCCTGGAATCGAACCTGCGACCTTTCGATCAACAAGCTCAGCAGCTCAGTACTTTAACCCACTGCGCCACCGGGACCCCATAAATAGATGGTGGCAATATTACTTTCTATGTGTTGAGAATAGAGAATATCTGGCTAAGCTAGATATGTCTGGGACATATGTGTGGAGCATCCAGACTATGGCAGTCTAGTGTCAGTGGAGTAGCTCTTTTTTAACCCAGCTGCATATCTACTAACTATTGCATATCTCATCTTGGAAATACTAAGTATTGTTTTTATTATTTTCTAAACAGAGTATCATCACATATAGGAATACCGTCATGACAAGATCCATAATCTTCTTGTTTGGGCACAGTAGAAAGGACTATTTACTTTCCAGAGGATAAAACCAGCTGTAGATCAACATAACTGCTGCAGATTCCAGAGCTGAAACAGGTCAAAAAGATGAAATTCTTTGTGCTATGTAATAAAAGGATAATTACGTGAACTCCTGTGAACTTTTTTTCATCCTTCCTGTAGAAGTCCCTTTAAAAAAAACCTTGCAATATGTATGTTTTAGGGCAGTGATTCTCAACCTGGGGGTCGGGACCCCTGAGGGGGTCGCGAGGGGGTGTCAGAGGGGTCGCCAAGGACCAACAGAAAACACAGTATTTTCTATTGGTCATGGAGATTCCATGTGGGAAGTTTGAGCCAATTCTGTCATTGGTGGAGTTCAGAATGTTCTTTGATTGTAGTGAACTATAAATCCCAGCAACTACAGCTCCCAAATGTCAAGGTCTATTTTCCCCAGACTCCACCAGTGTCCACGTTTGGGCATATTGAGTATTCGTGCCAAGTTTGGCCCTGTTACATCATTGTGTGAGTCCACAGTGCTCTCTGGATATAGGTGAACTACAACTCCCAAACTCAAGGTCAATGCCCACCAAACCCTTCTAGTGTTTTACGTTGGTCCTGGGAGTTCTGTGTGCCAAGTTTGGTTCAAATCCATCATTGGTGGAGTTCGGAATGCTCTTTGATTATAGGTGAACTATAAATCCCAGCAACTACAACTCCCAAATTACAAAATCAATCCGCCCCCAACCCCACTAGCATTCACATTTGGGCATATTGGGTATTTGTGCCAGTTTGGTCCAGTGAATGAAAATACATCCTGCATATCAGATATTTACATTATGATTTATAACAGTAGTAAAATGACTGTTTTGAAGTAGCAACGAAAACAACGTTATGGTTGGGG